CGTGCGTCAAGTTGCGGCTAATTGTACACAACTCGAAAACGTCACGTTCACCAGGTTGACACTGACGGAACAGCTAACGATGCGGAGTCCTTATATTCTCAGCGGTGTCCTTGCTACCTTAAAAAGATCCAAAAGAATGGGTTGTGATTAGGGGGTTGTATCATCCGTTGATACGCGTGTGTCCCCGAATACAGTATCACACTGGTATTGGATGAGTATCTGGATCAACCAGAGTGAATGTTGTATCTGTATCAGTTGATACAAAGGATTTTGGACTGACCTTCTAATGATTATGTACTAGATACAAATAATAATTTTACTGTTTAGGAGTTCTCAAGCTTAACAGTTAATTTAGATGGCGGTAGCGGTTGCTTTAAGTGTGAAACAACGGGCAGCATGATCGCCACATTGGACTAGAGTTGAGTGTAATGGTATAGACTAGCGACAGCTCATCAGTTACTTCGGCACTGCTAAATTCACTCGATGCCGAAGTCCAGGCGAAACAAAAACAAACGAAGAAGTAGAAGATGTCGATGTTCACGAATTATCTCTTTCAATAAAGCACAACAACTAAAACCAGCTAACTTTGGTTTGGAACTACCTCCTCAAGTTTCGCGTACCTACTCCAGAATCATTAGTTTCTAGCAGTCCATTCACTCATACCTGTCTGGTATGTACGGACGAGGCCATGAACTCGTCCAAGCCGACATTTTCTGCATGGGGTGTGTTAGTCGGCATAAAAATCTCTAGCAATAGGCAGGAGTACATGCTTCATAACCTTAAAAAAATCATCCTTTCTCAGTGGATGGTGCTGCAAAAGGTGCCAGCAAATGATAATCCAGACCATGCTAGCCTGAACGCCGTCGAGGCGGTACTGGACTTGGTTCACACCAATCGTGTCTCCGCAGATCTCTGCGCGACCACCAGTACGGGCAGAGCGATTGAACTTCCGAATAAAGGTCCACAGTGTGGACCGCACGACCCCAGCAGACGTGATATGATTTTCAGATTCAGCGCGCACACGGTACAACTCGCCAACAGCGGCTTCCGAGTACCAGTCGGGGATCCCAAGGGCGTCTGCGGTGTGATCCAGGGCACGGAAGGCGCAACGGTCATCGTGTGAGACACCCATGGCCTGGAAGAAGTCGTACGGCCGCGGGAGAGCAAACTCAGCGAAGGTCATCGGACCTCCGGTGGCTTTGTACTGGTCAACGAGCTCGAGATACTCGGTGAAGCCGTCTTCCTCGAGGAGCCAGCGGGGTTGCCAAGAACCCTCGGTTTTTCCTGCAACAATTATGTACTCAACATAATATCGCAAGTCTCGGGTTACATGTGAGCCAAGACGGTCGGAAATGGTCCAGACATGTCAGCGAGAAGTTTTCGCGGCACTTCGAGTCGAAGCTGTTTTCCGTTGAGCTTGATGACTAAGGGACGTGCGTGGGGTGCGTCCGCCAGTCGACCGGGACGCAGTCTGCTTCGTTCGTGCCATGGCAGGCTCTCGAGGGAGCGAGTGGTTGCGCGGCCAGGGGCACAAGGACACCAGGACAGTGGACTCAGCGAAGTTGGCTTGCGTCGACGGAATCCGGCAGCTAACTGAGGCAACACCATGGAAGCAATAGCGGAGAGAAAGCGTGCAGTTGAAGACGAGAAGCAAGGACGACTAACGAACACGTGAGGATGAGCAATGGACTCAACATGACTTGAAGTACCAAGTATGAAAATCACTTCCATTGCTGGAGGGGTGAGTGTATCCAGTAGACTGTATTTGAGGTTTTGAGAGGTATTACATTAGAGATAGAATTAAGTAATAGAGGGACTCTCTCAACTAACTGTTTGGCTGAGAGCCGTTGGTCAGGGAGACCAGCACACTTTGCTTTCTCCTCGCCAGCCCCCAGACGATCTCCCTCTTCTTCTCCCCTCCTCTCTAGGGCCAGTTTGATACATTTACGTGGTGAGCCTTTTCTTGTTTTTAATCGAAATCGCACGCGGAACGATAAAAGCTGGCAGTATATAATCTAACGCCGTTTTCAATAACCAACATCTCTGTAGGATAGAGCGGCTGTTTGCGCGAGTTTTTGGGTGGGGTGGTAGGACAAGATTTCGATGTTTACTAATCGATCATCTAGATGGCTGTGTTACATATATCAATTCTTCAACTAACAATCAACACTCGCTCCGAAAGGTGTCTATTGGCTACAGGACACACATTATCTACAGGAACAGTTTAGGGGTCACAAAACACGGTGGGTTTCAAAAGAACGTTAAGGTAAATGGTCAGTTTAAGTCAGGGAAAGACGGTCAAGTTTGAGAAAGCATAAATTTTCACAGACGTTGGTATTGACCACTTTACAGACATAATGGTTAGCACCAGGATTTCATTTTTCTACTGGCAAGCGCAGCAAGTCAACGAGTTATTTTTCAGCTGACGGTGGCGGTTTGAAACTACCGTACATTTTGGTGGAGTGCCAGTGTAAGTCAAAACTAGACTTGATTTGAGTATGTATAGAGTCTGTTATGTACGTTCTTACAAGTACACTTGAATTTCTGTAAATTCCGAAATACACTCTGTAAAATGATAATACTGTGAAGGATCAAAGTATGAGGTATATTAATTAAAAGGATAAAGTGCCTAGAAGTTCGCAACAAACAAAACCGGATCGTTATGGCTGCTTTGTGTCGTCGGTACCTCTGCTTGCTGCTCTTTCTGGCCGAGGATGTAACGCATCCGCGTTGATTGTATTATTTATATCTTTAGGATTATGGTACGATTTACGGGACGAATTACAGGTTAGTTTACGGGACGTTCGTAAACTAATTTGCATTTAGCAATGAGTGGTTAGTAGATAGTCTAGACATAAAAGAGTGCAGACTTTTAATTTACTAATATCACTTTCCAATTTGCATCCTGCAACACAAGCTTCCTCTACGTTACA